GGATTGAGTCACAGGGAAGTTATAAGTAGACAAAACAGTGACATAAATACTATTAGAAAATTGCCCAGAAAAAGTTACACCTGTGTTCTTAATCCCATGCATATTAAAACTGAATGGAATTAACTTGTACAATTATTAAATTCAAATGTTGCACAATATGAAAAAACACACAATGCACAGTTGACTTAACTTAAGAATGAAGCACCATTTTCCTATGTAATGCAGAATGTATAGATGTTTATTAATAGCTTTCTTTGATATTTACACAGGTTTCAACTGGAAAGTAGGGTAGATTGATCTTGGTGACTTCAAGAGAAGGGCGCAGAAGTGGGAGTAAACTTAATATAGTTCTGGAACCATCATACTTAAGGAAGGAGCCCACTACTGTGTCGCAGGAGTCATTCTTGTTGAATAAGAAGCTGACTTGGAGGTGGAGTTGCTTGGATTTGAAGCAGTACTTACTGTGGGGGAAGGATTTGTGCTGTGGATCTGGTCTGGGAGAAAACTGGCTTGTGTGCAAGGATTTGAGAACTGGAGAAAGTCTGGCTACTTCAGGAACTTTGTTGTGACAAGAGCTGCTGGTTGGGTGTGGTGGTGTGACTGCTGCTTGTGCAAGGTGGGTGTGCCTTCCGTCATGTGAGGAGTTTAGTTTTATAAGTCTGCATGTCTTTGGGACCAGTGTTAAGATCAGCTGATAGTGAAAAGACCTTTGGGCGTGGACAGGGAATTTATAGTGACTAGAGGGCTCTTGTGGCACAGAGGTGTTGTCCCTACTTCAGGGCAAGAAGGCCTGTGTTCAAGTCCCACCTGCTCCAGAGGTGTGTCATGACATGTCTGAACAGTTTGGTTTTAGAATATCTATCATTGCTTAATGTTGCACGATGTCAATAAATGGAGATGTGTATATAATAGTACTGTTAGGCTATGATGGAACTGCTGATGTTTTATAATTTTTAGATATACAGGTTCAATCAGCAATAATAGCATGAACTCTGATAGGCACATCCATCTTCATTAAGAATTCTAGAACATGTAGTGCACAGTGCATAGTGAATTATTCTGCAGCTTTGTATGATTTGAGTGCCCTTTACACAATTTGTGGCTTCCTCAGGGTAATGAGACACTTAGGCATTCCAATCGATTGAAATTCAAACAGTTTTTTTCTCCCAGTTTTCTTTTAAAACATGTGCCACTTTGAAGCCTATACATTATATTCTGTGCCTTTCTTGGTTCATTAAGTATTTTGTTTTTTGATCCTCTGAGCCAGGCTGACTTCTTATGGATACATGCACATTCAAAAACCTGAGAAATTGATTGTTTATGAAAGTGCTAAAATTGCCTGTTGAGTGTTTGAAATAAGAACAGAATGTGCAGAAAATGCCCACCTGGTTAATGAGCACGTGAAAGGTTAACGCTAGCTTGCCCAAACTGTGACCCTTATCGCTCACAATGCAGGGTTTCTTTCTCTTTGTTTCTTTAAAAAATGTGTTTATAATTTTACGACTTGAATATTTAGAAGAAAGCTATTGCTAGCTTTGTTATTAACTGTTTATTTAAGATTTAGCCATGTGTAGTTTTTGAAACTGGTGACATACCTAAATTAAATGACACATTAACTGGAACATTATAATTTCAATTTTGTACATGACCCATAAGGCTAAATGGTATATGGATGTAAGTGGACAGAAAAAAAAGCCTGTATACTCCAAAGTTTTAGGAGCAGTTTTTAAATTAAAAATGAGAAGTTCTGTAATGTGTTGAATAGGCCAGTTGGATCTCCACCTACTTTTACTTTTTATTCTTGCATGGGCTGTGGGTGTCCCTGGCAAGGACAGCATTTGTTCCTGTCCTTAATTGTCCTTGAACTGTTTGGCTTGCTTTGCTACTTTGACTCTTAACTGCCCTCCAATCAGTCAAACACATTACTGTGCGTGTGTAGTCACACACCGGCAAGGTAAGGATGGCAAATTAAAGAGCCAGATGGGTTTTAGTGACAATCAATGGTAGTGTATGGTCACCATGACTGAGACTAGATTTGTATTCCAGATTTTTTGTCAACAGAATTTAAATTCTACCAGCTGAAATCGTGGGATTGAACCCTTGTTCTCCAAGTATTGCTGGGGCCTCTGGATTATTCCTTCACTGATATTGCCACTATGCTACCATCTCCCTCTTTACCAATTATGGCAACTCTTCTTTATCATTTTGTATCTTTCAAAATAAGCATTTATATCCTGACTTTCAAAGCAAATTTCTGTGTGTCTGAAATATTTACTTTGAAACTTTGGCACTTATGCTCCAGATTATTTTTTGGCTTTTGTGTGACATTTTTGTGGATTGCTTTTTAATTTGTTAAGCTCATGTTTAGATATTGAGAATGCGCACCAAGTGAACATAATCTAAGAAAATTTCATTTCAACCCTGTGCCAACTATCTCCTCTACTTGTTTCATAGCTACCAGACTTTTTTGAACTTTAGCTTACAGTTTTATATATGGAATCTTATCTAATGAAGATCCATAAGCACGTATCTCTCTGTGAAACATCTATTTCCCTGTTGCTGTAAAAAAAAATTTACTCACTTATCACAAAACCACGCTGACTCCCCCTAATCACCTTGTTCATTTTGTCTCCAATGGTGGACCATAGTAAATTTCAAAGTATTACAAAGTATTCTAGTGATTGTAAACTCAGTTGTAATTTGGTGTATCCCTTTTTCTGAGTAGAAGATACAGTACAACTGCCTTCTAATCTTTGACATAATCCCTGACTTTTCTTGAACATTTCAGGCTTCATTATTTTACCCCAGCATCATCCTCCCTATGCTTGGGAGTAGATGGGAACTGTAATCTTGGAGTGCCTGGACCTTTTGGATCCAAGAATGATATTCCATGTGCTGGGCTACTGACATAACCAGAGGATACCATTGTACGGCAGAGGCCAAAGGCCCCCTTTGCATCCCTCTGTGTGCATGTTAACATGCTCTCACTCACATGTTGACGCTGTCACATGCGCTGTCACTCTCACACTCAACCTACATTTGGTGGTGACGTTTTGAAATAGTCTAGCATTTACATTTTTTCACTACTGGGAATACAGGAAAGGAAGTAGGTTGCATGTTATTGGGCTGGTGTCCATCTTGATGTGCAGGTGCCCTGTTCTTCCCCAGTCTCCCTGAGAAAATCAAAATCCCAGAGCAATCTAAAAGGAACAATGTTACAAGTCTTTACTTTATCTATTTTTAATGGGACCACCACCTCCTTTTATGTTGATTTATTGATGAGCTAAAAAGAAACTTAATCTTGATACCACCTGCAAGCTTTTCTAAATAATCCCCCCACCACCACCCCCGACCTTGCTTTTTTACTTGTTATTACTTTCTGTAATCTTACCACCCTGCATTCCAGCTGTTTTTCTTCTGCCACGTGTAAGTTTTTTTGTTCAATGATAATTTAACAATTTGTTCCCTTTCTCCCCCCTCATAAGTATACACAAATTACCTTCCTGATTAGATCTTACTGTTGATATGCAAATTATTAATTTTTTTCCCATCCTATTTTAGGTAATACTTGTCATTCCTTCAGGTCAGCCTTTCCGGATTTTGCGCTCTACAAGTTAGGTTACTATTTCCGCTGTATACTCATTCACTAGTAGTTTATCTATTTTTTTTTTATCTGTCTGTCATTTAAAATTTGTCTAGTTGAAGACTGCCTTAGAAAGATATCCTGAACAAATCAAGTAAATCTTTGTGCTTGCATTGTTAATTCTCCCTAATATATATAAAGTTTAAAGTCTCATTAATATAACTTGTTTCTTGCTGACCTTCATATTGCTTCAATGAACCCAGTCATGGGATCCATAAAATATTCCAATCAAAACTTTTTTTTTTTCCCTTTTGATATATTAACTAATTCATTTGGTATTTATTTCTAGCATGAGCAACTTTATTCTTTATCTCTAATATTGAACATTTGACAATTGACTAAATGTAAATTTGATTTTTGAAAAGCCAATGGTACTGTATTTATTATTTTAAAATGCCGATGCCCCTGCGTATTCACACTGTATGTTAATATCCAGTATTGTGAATTGGATAAATCAGACGTGAATGCCAGAACAGATCCTGCAGTAAAGTAGAAAAGAACTCTGACTCTTTACTCCAAGAGCTGTCAACCAGTTTTGTTGTTGTGGTGTCATGTTATTGGATGCAAACTTCACTCAGTGACTGCAGTATCACTGTGAACCAAAAATATCTTGTACTGGTAAAAACAAAGTATTGCAATTGATGGAAATCCTAAATATAAACAGAAGGTGCTAGAGATCAGGCATCATCTGCGGAGAGAAACAGAGATAATGTTTTGAGTCCAGTATGTCCCCTCTTCATGACGCTTGAAGAGTCCTACTGAACTAGAAACATCAGGAAATCGGACCTGCTGAGTTTCGCTGGCACTTTGTTTTTATCTTGTGCTGGTGCTGAGGATGTATCATAAATGCACTGTTGATGGTAATGGTGCTTAATGTGTAGTATTACTATTCACCATGGGCTTGTGTATAGTAGTAAGTAACTGTAATCAAGTCTCTTCAGGTGGTACTAAAATGAGAGAATAGCAAAGGGACTAATGTTTCCACAATGGAAAAAAAATCAGAGTTAACGTTTCGGGTCTGATGACCCTTCCTCAGAACGGGTCACCGGACTTGAAACGTTAACTCTTGAGTTTTTTCTTCACAGATGCTGCCAGACCTGCTGAACTTTTCCAGCAACTTCAGTTTTTGTTCCTGATTTTCAGCATCCGCAGTTCTTTCGGTTTTTAATGTTTCCACAATGTTTGTTTTGATATGGCAACTTGGTGCCAAAGTACACTTGTTTAATTTTGTTTTAAGGGAAACAATATGTTTTGACTGATATGTGAAATGTTTCCCTTTCTCTTGTGTGGATATGTAGTTCCGTAGGAATTTGGAGACGTGTGTGGATCGGATTGGGCGAACTACTGTTGGTTGTGATGCTGGTGTAGCATCGTATCGGACACAATCCTGACAATTATGTGCATGGCTATTCCAGAAAGAACTGTAAGGAGAATTTCAGGGATCAATACTAAATCCCATCGTCCCTGCAACTTCATGATCAGCAACCTCAATGCTGCTCAGTTGCTCTACATCCTGTTCTACACAGTGTATAAATTATTGAATAGCAAAAGTTCAGTTTTCCTTTTTCCTGTTCTTCCTTTGGGACAATTTCCACACTGCTAAGGATACTGCTGTAGATGATTTTATGACTTTACATGTGCTGCCAGGCCAATAGAACCACCGATATGTAATCATTCTTCATGTGTGAACATAAACAATGATTGTCGGCAGACTGCATGATTGATGGGGCAGTACATTGATCTTAATTCCATCCTTTGTAGTTCTATAGCATTGAGACCAGTTGAAGTGTCCATCTAATAGCTTGGCTTATCTGAGAACTCTGTACTGAGCTAAGGTCAAACAGCCCTGTTCGTCTTTGATTCAATGCTACATCCTTTTGATGCATTTAATCACATTTTACACTAGGTGCTCCTGCCTAAAGGTAATAATTGTGACTCAGGTACATTTTCTCAAAAAAATGGGTCCCCTGTTAAAAATGCATAGGCTGCACTCTGACTTCCAAGTCAAATTTGCATTTGCACCAAAATGTGAAAACTATCTCTTCCTTTCTTTGCCCAATATTACTGCTGCATATTTCATTAACAAAGTTCCTTTTGGTTCTTTGGAGAAGTTTTTGTAATTTACATTTTCTGGAATCAAAGGACACTTGTTGAATCAGTATACTGTGAATACTACGAAGTATTTGAATGTATTTAAATGTACAGTATTGCTTCCTTTTAAAGTGTTTCAGAAGAAGACCAATTACCACGTAAAGTACATGTTTCAGTTAGCTTTGGGAATACATTCACACATTTGAGTATCTTACTTCAGTTTTAATAGAAAAGGTGAATTGTGTTCTTTCAAAGGCAGTATAATAAACACTCCTACTATCCACCTTTGGTTAAACACACCTAGATTAACTGTTTAGGCTGGTCTGTGCTTTGCTTGTAAATATAAGATAACATTTATTTAATTTTTAATTTTGTGGGATGTATTCGTGAAGGTCTTTGACTAGAAAATGCCCTGGTGTTTACAACATTGTGCATATCCAGAGCTGAAATCCATCTTTTTATTTTACAAACTGTCTTTTTTTTTATTTGACAGGTATGGCCTCACAACTGCAAGTGTTTTCACCAATGTCAGTAAAGTCCAGTGCCTTTTGCAGCGTGAAGAAATTGAAAGTGGAGCCCATCAACTGGGATGCAACGGGACAAGGCTGCAGCACAAAACATTGCAATCAAAGCAAAAATCCTTCAGTGACTCAAGTACAAACAAATCTGCCCCACCAGGCATCGAGCAGCATTGTGGTTTACGAACAGAATTTGCACACCACCACTGCCTCTGGGTTGATCCCAGTTAAGAGTGCCGACAGTGGGGCCTGTACCGCAGCCTTGTCTGTTGGGTCATCCAACGGAGTGCAGAGCTTGACACGCAGGAGCACAGTCACGCTGTTGGATACCTATCAAAAATGTGGACTGAAGAGAAAGAGTGAGGAGATTGAAAGCAGTGGCAGTGTGCAAATAATTGAGGAACACCCACCTCCGATGCTTCAGAACAACACTGGCAGGACTGCGGTGGGTACAACTGCCACCACCACATCAACTGTAACTTCAAAGAATGGCAGTTCCACTAATGAAGGGGATTATCAGTTGGTACAACATGAAATACTTTGCTCAGTGATCAGTAGTTATGAGGTATTGGAGTTTCTTGGCCGTGGCACATTCGGTCAGGTGGTGAAATGTTGGAAAAGGGGTACCAATGAAATTGTGGCTATCAAGATCTTGAAAAATCACCCATCTTATGCACGGCAGGGACAGATTGAAGTGAGCATTTTAAATCGCCTGAGCACGGAGAACGCTGATGATTACAATTTTGTCCGGTCCTACGAGTGCTTTCAACACAAGAATCATACCTGTTTGGTATTTGAGATGCTGGAACAGAACCTGTATGACTTCCTCAAACAGAACAAGTTCAGCCCTTTGCCCTTGAAATATATACGACCCATCCTGCAGCAGGTGGCCACGGCCTTAATGAAACTAAAGAGCCTTGGTCTAATTCATGCAGATCTGAAACCAGAAAACATTATGTTGGTGGATCCGACCCGTCAGCCCTATAGAGTGAAGGTCATAGATTTTGGTTCAGCCAGTCATGTTTTAAAAGCAGTTTGTTCAACGTATTTGCAGTCTCGATATTACAGGTCAGTGAATTATTTTAATTCTTCTTGGAGCATACGTCATTTTGCAGTTCAGAACATCAGTTATGGTAATAATTGAACGATTAAACCACGTTGACTTTATTAAGATTTTATCTTAATTTGAAATGAGTTTTGCTGGGGAGGTGGAGGATGAATGCAGGTCTTACATCAAACTACTTGTTCCCCACTCCTGAAGCTGTCCGTTTGGCCTTAGCTGTTTTAACTCTCTGGCCACACTTGCTTCCCACATTTGATCCAGTGCTCTCATTTACAAAGTATACTTTATATTAGCATGGGTTAGAGATAAGATTGACATTATATTCCAAGTTTTGCACACTGTGTAGCTTTTGGCAGTAAAACACTCTTGTTTTCTCTTTTTGCTAGTGATTTCAGAGTGAGGAATATTGAGATCAAATGTGCATCCTCATCTGTAGAATACCAAAGTAGAACTGAAAACCGTTGTTGAGCAGGACAAATATTGTTGACAAAGTAAACATAGTCACCACCACTTAATATATACATTCACACTTGAAGTCACATATATTGACTGAAAGATGTCAACCATTATGAATATCCATTTCAAAGCTGTTGGTTATGATGTTTTAAATACTGATTGGGTAGAAGCACCTGTGTCACCTCACCAGTTTGCTTGATCAACTAGGTAGTAATCACTCCATTAGACTGGCACAACACAACCACATTTGACCAAGCTATGACTGGTGTTTAGCCAAAGAATACCAGCTTTAGATTCAAAATCAGATTTTATTTTCCAAAAGAACATCGTCAATTGCAATCTTTTAGTAATAATGTACTTCAGCCATCCATGGATGAAGTAGGTGCATGTTTGATTCGTACAAATTTGGCCAAAGATTTTTAACTCTATTCCCTTTCAAGAGGCAGGGACACACTATTCTGCTCATTTTACACACAATATTCCCTCTGAGCTATTCCAGGTTTTTGTGAAGGTCTGTCTGTTTGACCTACTCCCAAATAATTTTTCAGTGTTGCTTGTATAGTGATGTTTCTTTATTCATTCATGGGATATGGGCGTTTATGGTTAGGCCAGCATTTTATTGCATGGGCTTAATTGCCCAGGAGAAGGTGGTATTGAGGCCCCTTTTTGAGCTGTTGCAGTCTAGGGGGTTTGGTAAGACCATGGTAGGGAGTTCCAGGGTTATGACCCAGCAACCGTAAAGGAACAGTGATATAGTTCCAAGTCAGGATAGTTTGTGGCTTGGCGGGGAACTTGGAAGTGGTGGTGTTCCTATGCATCTGCTTCAGTACTTTGATCTGAAAGAAGGGAGGTGATTTTTTAAAAAAAAAATGCGAAGCATTTTAACAGGAAAGAGAAACTATTCCCAAATCTATCTATAGATCATATTTTTAGTGCTATTAAATTGCAGTTTTATGATTTACTCTATCCTGGTGTGAAATTCTCTGAGCTGTTGGGAGAGGGGAAAATAAACCTGGGCACACTTTTTCTCTTCAGAAATGTTTACTCATTGCTCATTTGTGGGTGTAAGTTATAAATTTTAAAATGGCTCCTCACTGTATACAACATGACTTTTAAAAGAAAGTTTAAAACTAGTATTTGCATATATTATGTTCAATTTTATATGGCATATCGGTTGTATGTTTGTAAAGGATTAAGCAGTTCAGTGGATGCATTTTATCAAAATTATTCACCAATTGCAGTCACTCATTGTGCCAACTTTAATTCAAAAAGTGGACTAAATTACAGTAAGTTCAAGATAACCTGACGTGCCCAACATGTTCACTGCTTCATGTTGCAAATTGTATAGGACAAAGTGAGGAAGGTTGAAGTGCGGGAAAGTACTTAGTGTCTTAAATTGTATTTGCTCATGTTCACACAATTGACATTCTTTTCTTCCTAATCAAGGAAAATATATGTATGCTGCTTGTGGTTCAACAACATAGATGTCGGTGTGTTTGCCGAGCTGGGAGGTTTGATAGCAGATGTTTCGTCCCTTAACTAGGTGACATCCTCAGTGCTGTGGAGCCTCCTGTAAAGCACTGTTGTCTTGTGCCGATTCAAATTTGTGGTCTGGTTTTTGCTGCTTCCGGTAGGTGTCGGTTCCGGCAGTGCATTGTAATGGTCGGTATCGGGTCGAATTCAGTGTGTTTGTTAAAATCCGTAGGTGAATGCCAAGCCTCCAAAAATTTCATGGCTGTCCTCTGTTTGGCTTGTCTAATGATAGTGTTGTCCCAGTTGGAAGTGTGGTTTTTCTCATCTGCGTGCATTGAAACCGAGGGCATCTGGTCGTGTCGTTTAGTTGGTAGCTGGTGTTCGTGGATGCGGGTTACTAGTTGTCTGCCTGTTTGTCCCAACCCAAGCTCTGGATCAGGTATGTGAACAATACTTTTGTAATTATGGAAACAACAGAAATTGAGAACGTCCACCGGTTCATCAACACCATACTCACAGGGATCAAATTTACAAGAGAGAAGGAAAACAACAACAAACTCCCATTCCTGGACATTATGGTGGAAAGAAAAGAGAACTATAACTTTACTACAAAAGTATACAGGAAATCCACACATACTGACCAGGTCTTAAACTATCACAGCGACCACCCCAACTCTCACAAGAGGAGCTGCATTAGGATCCCGTTCAAAAGGGCCACTACACACTGCAGCACACCTGATCTGCAGAAGGAAGAAGAAGAATACCTCTCTAAGATCTTAACCGGGAATGGATATCCCTGCAGCTTCATCCACAGATGCCTAGCCAACAGACAACACAACCAGTACACACCAAAACCTGAAACAATAACCACCATACCATACATAAAAAAACACCTCAGGACTGACAGCTAGACTACTCGGACCGCTAGGAATCATGACGGCACACAAACCGGCAGCCACACTAAGACAGCAACTGACCAGGGTTTAAAGACCCAATAGATACCATGGACAGGACGAATATGGTTTACAAGGTACGATGCGGAGACCCCACAAAACTACGTGGGAAAAACAGACAACTAGCAACCCGCATCCACGAACACCAGCTAGCAACTAAATGACATGACCAGATGTCCTTGGTTTCAATACACTCAGGCGAGTAAAACCGCACTTTCAACTGGAATAACACAACTATCATTGGATAAGCCAAACAGAGGACCGCCAGGGAGTTCTTGGAGGCTTGGCATTTATCCGCAAACTCCATCAACAAACACGTTGAATTAGATCCGATATAACAACCATTACAATGCACAGCCGGAACTGGCACCTATTGGAAGCAGCAAAAACCAGGCGATGTAAATTCGCACTGGCACAAGACAACAGCGCTTCACAGGAAGCTCCACAGCACTGAGGATGTCTCCTGGTAAGGGGACGAAACATCTGCTATTCAATACTCCCAACTCGGCGAACACACCAACATCTACAACCAGCACCCAAGCTACAAATCTTCACTCAAACCCTGTTCAGCAACATATTTTCAGGTTTATATATATATATATTTGATTGCATTCAGGACATTTTTACTCATATTTATCTGGGCAAGCATTTGTTTTGTAATTGGTTTTTGCCAATCGTTTATATTGATTATTTTATCTTGGAGTGTAAGATTACAATTTTTGTTGTTTATGGTTAAGTCCCTTCATGGAATGATTACTGAAAGTGTATATCAAATTCTGAAACATTTGGTTAAAATGTAACATTTTATAATATGGAGCCTTACTTCGTGTCCCTGTTTGTTTTGGTATGAAGCTGCAGAGACACGACAATACAGACTCACCAAGGTGTTGCATGATGTGACAAAATTGGAAAAATTGGTCTTTTACCATAATAGAATGATTAAAAACAGAGGCCATTTGGTGAATCATCTCTGTGCTGATTCTCCATAAGAGAAAGCTGGCTGGTCCCAATCCCCGACCTTCTCCTTGTAGCTGTGCCTTTTTTCCCTCTGTTGATAATTCTCCAATTATGGCTGCTAGAGGAGGTAGTGGAGGCTGTTACAATTACAACATTTAAAAGGCACCTGGATGAATATGAGTAGGAATGATTTAAGGAAATATGGGCCAAATGCTGGCAAATGGGTCTACATTTAGGATATCTTGTCAGCATGGATGAGTTGGGCTGAAGGCTCTGATTTTTTCAGCAGCAGAGGGAGAGGCAACAGCGAGGACCAGGGGGCTGCCGGGAATATATTTGGGCAGCGGCCAAGGAGGCAGTCACACCTGGTAGATTAAGTAATTCAAATTCAGTTAGTGATCAGGGACAACAGGGTGTGACTGCAAGTGAGGCAGGTAGGGGGATCCTGAGTTGAGGAGTGGAGGAGCCTCAGCTTTTGACCTTATCCAACAGGTACAAGATACTTGCTCCCTGTGTGGATGAGGAAAAGGGCTGCGGGGAGGATGAGCCAGCTCACCACGGCACCATGGTGTGCAGAAGGCCATTCAAGAGCGGGGAGCAAAAAGACAAGTGGTAGTTATAGGAGATTCTATAGTTAAGGGGATAGATAGTATCCTTTGCAAGCCGGATCAGGAGTCCCGCATGGTGTGTTGCCTGCCCGGTGCCAGGGTGCAGGATATCTCTGACCGGCTTGAAAGGATGTTGGAGCGGGAGGGGGAGGATCCAGTTGTTGTGGTCCACGCTGGGACTAACAACATAGGCAAGGCTAGAATGGAGGACCTGTTTGGGGATTATCAAACACTAGGAACGAAATTAAGGAACAGGTCCTCGAGGGTCATAATCTCCAGATTACTGCCCGAGCCACATGCAAATTGGCTTAGGGATAAGAAAATTAGGGAAGTAAACACGTGGCTAAGGGAGTGGTGTGGGAAAGAGGCGTTCCATTTCATGGGGCATTGGCATCAGCTTTGGAACCGGAGGGATCTGTACCGATGGGACGGTCTCTACCTGAACCGATCTGGAACCAGTGTTCTAGCGAAAGGGATAAATAGGGTGGTCACTAGGACTTTAAACTAGTGAGTTGGTGGGTAGGGGAAAGGGTAAACGACAGGGAGTATGATGGTAAA